ATAGACAAAAATTCGTGGAGTTATAGCTCATGAAATTCGCACATATTTGGAAACACATTTTATTGTTGTTGGTAGAAACGAATGTGGAAGTATGCATATTTAATGCTAGCGGGTTGAAATAAATGGAAAGGGACACAAAAATGCTTTTTATAGCCCACAAAAATTTTGTGAGTTTTGGAATATGTATACTTCAGCGTCATCGACTTAAAATAATAATAAAACTAGTGCGCTGTAGCTCATGAAAATCACGTCTGAGATATTCGTACTTAAATGCCACTACATAGAAAAGAACAGAATAAACAAAAAGCGTAGGTTAATCTGTTAACTAAGAAATTTTAAAGTACTCAATTACCATTAGGTCAGTTAATGAAAAAGGAAAAAAAAATTTATGGGTTAGAGCTCACGAATACAAATTTAGAAATAGGCATACTTCAAATCCATTAGGTCAAACCTAATAGCAATGGAAAAATATGTGGCTTTTAACTAGCGAAAATTTTAAATTTTGAAGTATACATGCTTAATTTCGATTGAGTTGGAACGAATGAGAATATACCAAAATCATGGCTTATAGCACATAAGGTTCACAAATATTGTAGAAAATCGCAAATTTCAAAGTAGGGAATGCAGATGCTTCATTGCTAATGGGTTAAAACAAGCAAAAACAAGTGAAATCGTGGGTTATAACCCATGAAAACCGCGAATTTTATGTATATATACTTAGTTGTCATCGGGTATAAACCAGGAAAATGGACAAAATCGTGGGCTATATAATAGCAAATTTGGAAGTATGCGTACTTTGCTTTAATTGGGTTGATATTAACGAAAATGAGAAAAATCGTGGGTATAGCCTATGAAAATCGCAAATTTTGAAATTTGCATTCTTGATTGTTATCAGGTCAAAGCGAAGGAATATGTACTGGTGTTGTAACTCATGAAATTCCGAATAGTTAAGTACATATACTTCATTACCATTGGTTGAAATAAATGAAAATGGAAAAAAGTTGAGGACTATAGTCCGTGAAATCAGAAATTCTAAAAACACAAAAATGGGCGGGATCATTAGTTATAGTCCATGAAAATCATGAATTTTGAATTATTTACTTAATTATCATTGGGTTGAGACAAATGAAATGAGCGAAATTTGTGGATGTTCAATTATGCATACTTATTTCTCATTGTGTGGGAACAAATAAAATTTGATTAAAAAATCTTGCTTATGGCCATGAAAATTGTGAACTTGGAAGTACTTGTATTTCATTGCTATTAAGACAAAATGAGCGAATTTGGGAAAAATCATGAGTTATACCTTATAAAATTTGTGAAATTTTAAGAACATGCTACTTCATTTCTGTGAGGTCAAAATGAGTGAAAATGGACAACATAGGTTATGGCCCATGAAATCACAAATTTTAACATGCCTTATACTTCATTGAAGTTGGACCGAAACAAACAACGTGGACAAATTCCGTGGACTATAGCTCATGAAAATTGCGAAGTTTGAAGTATTTTTACTAAATTGTCATTGGATCAAACAAATTAAAATTGTTAAAATTCTTAGGTTATAACTTATAAAAATCACAATTAGAAGTATGTATATTTATTTGCCTTTTGGTTAAAAAAATGAATGTGCACAAAATTCGTGGGTTACATAGCCCATGAAAATGACGAATTTTGAAGTGCACATACCCAATTGTCATTGGGTCGAAACAAAAAATTTGGACAAAAATTTGTGGGCTATATCTCATGAAATTCGCAAAATATTCAAGAACACATATTTCATTGACATTAGGTAGAATCGAATGTTGAAGCATATATACTTAATGGCAATGGATCAAAACAAATGAAAATAGACTAGTAACGTGGCTTATAGCCCACAGAATCACAAGTTTTGAAATATTTGTATTCTTCAGCACCATTAGGTCAAAATAAACAAAAATGGATAAAACTCATGCATAATAGTCCATGAAAATTGAGAGCTTGAAATGTGTACAACATTTGAAAATTGTGGGTTACAACCTTTGAAAATTGAGAATTTTAAGGTGTACGTATTAAATTGTCATTAGGTCAAAACTAATGTAAAAGGAAAAAAAAATCATGTGTTAGAGCCTACGGAAAATGCGAATTTTGAAGTAGACATGCTTCAAAGCCACTAGGTTGAAACTAATAACAAATTGGAAAAAGTATGGATTATAACCCACGAAAATTACAAAATTTGAAGTATACATAATATCGATTAAGTTGAAACGAACAAAAATTGATAGAAATCCTGAGATGGTCTGAAATTCACAAATTTGATGAAAATCACAGTTTTTGAAGTATGTGTGCTTTATTGCTAATGGGTCGAAACGAGTGAAAATAGGTGAAAATTGTTGGTTATAGCTCATAAAAATTGCTGGTTATAGCTCATGAAAATTGCGAATAT